TCTTAACAATTAGAGACTTTGCAACTCAAGTACCAAAAGTTCCATAAGTACAAAACTTTATGCTCATGGTTTTCAAATTCTTTTTCAAAAGGAATTTTGAAGCTTCATTATGAAGTTTACGGACTAAGGCTCTGATACCAATTAAATTGTCACGCCCCGGACCTACCGGACACGTCAACAACCCGCCGTACAGTACGAATAGTCAACCGCAGTCCAACTCATCCATACTATACTAGGCGTCTTGAATATCATTCACAATAGTACATCCATAAACAACATAATGTAAAATAATCATTTAAATCAGCGGAAACGTTTAATACAAGTGTTTATGCCACACTTCGGCAAACATGGGCGTACAAGCCCCAAATAATTATTCAAAACCATATCCATGAGCATTAATTTAATGTTTTAAAAATAGAACGGAGGAAGCACGAACCACGTCTTCTCTCCCTGAGCTCCCCGAAACAACGGGCGATGGTAGCAAGCTTTACTCCCTACCTGAAACTGTGAGGTGGCCTCCCCCGTGAAGGGGAGGTCAGTACTTGGAAGCATTTGACAAGTACAATGACAACTATGCTAAATATAATCAATGTTTCAACTTCTAAGACCCTCAAAATAGAGTGATATCATAATATAATGATAGTTCTTCTTTAACCCTTATTATCTTCGTAATAAGTTAATTAATTAATTTGTCGGCACACGGCCCCTTTTTATATTTCATTTCAATCGTCGTTTACACGACACCGCCCGTAGGTTTTATCATCCTTACGAGACTTGTCACCGCTCTCCGAGGCCTCACCGGGCTCTCGGGCCGGAGTCCAACATCTCGCCCCTGAACTCATACCCATCGTCCCGTAGGAAGGTAAGGTCCATTCGGGGTCCTATCTTATGTGTTACCGCTGTCGGGAGCCCCGTAAGGTCTCCGGTTCGGATTCCACCCTAACCCGTGATCACGATGTAAGTCCATGCTATCCAACCCCGCCCTCTAGAGTCGGGAAGGGCCATGGTCCTTACTAATTACCAATACTCTATCGGCTAATCCTTAAAGACTACCGAATACACCCGTAGGCCAATCCTATTTCTAGGATCAATTTATTATTCACTTTATCTTGGGTATCCCTTAAGGCCTACCCCCAGCATCACTTATCCACCTTAGTATCTCTTAAGACTACTTAAGGCTCAACAATTTACAATCCAAACCTTGGATCAATTCTAACATATTTCATTCCAAAACCCCGACTAGTATCATAATACTAGTCGGATAATTTCCAACAAAACTCATTTTCAATTCATAGTCATATAGACAATTTCCAAACTAATTTCTCATTGAAAATATAGTTCATATCAATATACAAAATATAACCTTTAATCACTCATGTATCCTTATATGAAGTTAAAGTTATATTTCAACACAATATTTATAATTAATCCCTTCATCAAGCCAATATGCTCATATTACATAATCATACATAATTTATCCTTAAATTTGTATATTATGCTCCTTTATTCATTGACAACAATATTTTCATTTAGGCATTATTAATCATTAATAATCCATGAAAATCACATTTAATTACTTTAGGTAATCCTACGAAATTAACCCAAAGATTATAAGCAACATAGTCAGCCATCCTCACCTTATGAAGTGCTGAAATAGTTGTCCTTGTTAAGCCCTCCGATCAACCCTCGTTCTAAACCGATCAAAAGCAAACTTCTGGGCAGAATGATGAAAGCCGGGCGGCTTTCACGAAAGCTGGGCGGCTTTCGTGGTCTGCAACTACGAACAGCCTCCTACACTTGGCGGTTTCCGGCGGTTTCAACTCCTATCGATTCCACGACTCTTCTAAGTTAAATACCACCACTTTATAACAATATTATACACTTTTAAACGTGTGGAACTTCATGTTTAATTCATCGTATGATTTATTAAAAATCATACCGAATAATACTAGTTAAAGAATGGAGGTTTGTTCTTACCTTTCTTCTAGCTTTCCTCCTTTGGATATCCCTTCTTCCAGCTTCCTCCAAGCTTGAGGTTTGTGAGAATCAACTCCAAGGTTCTCTCTCTTGTGGTTGGTTTGTGCGGATGAGGCAAGAGCAAGGAGGAACACCCTATCTAGCTAACCTCCATATAATTCCAAGGATGGGACATGAGGTGTGGGCAATTGTCTCTAGGAGACTTCCCCCCCCCCCCCCTGTCCAGCTCGCCCCTTCCCTTGTTTTTGTCCTCCTTCCCATTTTCTTTGTGTATAATTAGCTTGTAGGATACCCCAAGTGGGTGTAGGAAGTTCCTCCCAATTATTCCTGCTATTTTCGGTAGGTTTGGGCCGAAGTAGCACTCGGTTTGTCCAGACGTTTTTGTCAACTTTGGTTGGCACTTTATTGGGCTCCTATAATTATTATGATACCCAACTAAATATTTGGCAACTCATTCCCATTATTATGGGCTCGATAAATAATTTAATTAATCGCACATTAATTAAATGTACCAATCAGTACACAATTTATTCGCTAGAAAAATCAAATACATATCCACTTTCAAATTCAAGTACTTTCGGGTGCGGTGTCACAAAAGGTGTCTTTTTACCTTCTATCATGTTGTGGACATGAAACATGTTTTAGAGGGCAGCCCGTGGCTATTTGAAAGAAATTTGTTGATCATAAAAGAGGTTAAACCAGAGGATATTCCGCTCAAAATTATCCTCTTGAGGCTGAATTTTGGATACAAGTTCATAATGTTTCTTATAGCTTCATGAATTTAGACATTGCTAGAAGAATTGGTAATTTTATTGATAAATTTATTGGCTATGAAGCCTATGATGAGAACCAATTCGACGAAAAGTGTGAAGCTTACTTGCGTGTTAGGGTCTGCATGGATGTGGGTAAACCCATGAAAAAGGAAGAACTCTTAAGAAAGGAGGGATTGTTCACTGGGTAGAATTTATATATGAAAAGCTACCCAACTTTTGTTTTATCTGTGGAATTATTGGTCATTCTGATAAATTTTGCCCATTGACATATGAGGATAACCTAGTTTTGGAAAAAACTTATGGAAGACTACTCCTACAAGAGGAAACAAGTGGCTTGTGGAAGGGTCTTCTAGCTCAGGGTTGGGGTTTTCACAAAAGGAGGACACCAAGACGAGAGGTGAAGCATGAGAGTGAGGTTGGAGGGAGTCCACGTCGGGCATGGGTAATAGCACGACTAAAGACGGGGAGTTTGGAAGCACTGAGCAAATGTCAGGGGAACAAAAGCGCAAGAGGATCTGAGAAGCTCAGGTTCAAGAGGATCCAGTTGGTGATAACATGTCTTTGGACAAGTCAAAAAACGGAGAGGAGGCGGACTTCGATATTTAGGCCTGCCGAAGCATCAGAAGCAAATAGAAGGCTTGGGTGCGTGGATGAGTGTTGTTTTTTTTGATTTTTTTAGCATTCTATTTACTTTCAGTTTTGTTATTTCTTTTGCTATAAGAATGTGAGTTTGGATTTGGGTGACAAGAGGTCTGCTTTAACCGTCTTTTGCTCATTTATGTCCAGTCAAGGATCAGCGAGTTATATTGCTTCTCTGGAGGTGATTAACTCTGAGTCTCATTCGAGGGCAAGCGGTTGTCAACAATCTTTTTGTATCTTCATCCCATATCCAAATGTTGTGATATCAATTTAAGTTTACTTCTTAAAAAAAACTATACTTTACACTTAATATTAATTGCTTTCAAAATATATTTTGTATATTTGCAACTTAAGTTAATTCTAAATACATATTTGTTTCATTTCTTATTTAATTCTATTGTTAACATAATTTTAAATATATTACAAAATACTTCATATGTGATTAAAATTTATTTTTAGCAACATAAATTTAAATTTTATCTACCATGAAAGTTTTACGTATGACTAGTCCTGGACTCGGGCCGGGTGGCCCGACCCGGAACCGGCCCGGTCAGTGACCGGTCCGGGTAGGCCCAGCCCAGGGGGTTCCCGGTGCGGGCTGGGGTCACCCAAAAGTCGAACCGGCACGGCCGGTTCGGGCCCAGTTCCGGGCTTCTTAATTTTTTTTTCCCCAATTTTTTTTAACTTTTTGGTTTGGGCTGTGTATTTTGGGTCATTTGGGGTGGTTTGGGGGGTTGGGGTTGGGGGTTGGGGGTTTGGGCTGGGTTTGGGGTGGTTTCTGGGTTAATTAGGAAAAGGGAAAAAAAATGACCCGACCCGGCCCGGACCCGGTGGCTACCCGGGCCCACCTATTCAGAACAGGTGGCCCGCCCTGGCCTAGGGATGGACTGGGCCGGGCCGAACCGGCCCGGAACCGGACCGGCCCGCTACTGTGCGGGCCCGAACCGGACCGGGCCCGGTTGGCCGGTTCCGGGCTTTTAGCCCGTTTTGGCGGGTCGGGCGGGCCGGTTCCGGGCCCTGTTTTTGTTGAACCGGCCCGGGCGGTTCGGGCCGGGCCCGGTTCATTTTTTTTTTTTTTTTTTGGTTTTTTCAATTTTTTTTCTTTTCCTAGGGTAGAGCTGGGTGTTTTAGGGAGGTTTGGGGCGTGGGGGTGAGGGGGGGGTAGGGAGATAACAAGAAAGTCAAAAAAAAAAAAAAAAAAAAAAAAACATTGAACCGGGCCCGGCCCGGCCCGGCCCGGTTAGGCCCGGACCCGGTATCAACCCGGGCCGGTTCCGGGCCCATGTAACCCGAAAAAAAGCCCGCCCGGGCCCGGCCCGGAACCGGAACCGGCCCGGCCCGGGTCCATCCCTACCCTGGCCTAGGCCCGGACCCGACCCGGCCCGAATCCAACCCTACTTATGACGTCATACTTTTTTTGTCCAAAGAATATTTTGTTATTTATAATTGATTGTACACTATTTTTTCTTAATGTGTTCATTGTTTATGACGTGTGACTCTGTGAGATAACCAACGTGAGTTCACCCTCACTTACAAAAACTCCTAGATTTCACTGCAGATATTCACTAGTTTGTGCTCCTTAATCTTTGCCTAAATTCGTGTGTCCATTTTCCTAAATTGAATAATTTATAACACGAGCATATGAGAGAAATATTAATTCACAAAGTGAACTTACACAACCTTTAAATATCCAAGGAGTCAATTATCGCTTGTTTGAACTCCAACAAAAATTACAAGTAAAATTTCAGCTCATATATATTACGGATCCCTGTATAGTATAGCGACTTAACAAGGAGGCTTCTTCCATAGCTGCTCTTCATATCGTTTCTAAGTCTGCAACTCTCTGGGGCGCTCATGATTGCACTTCTTGCATACCATGTTTTTTCTGTAATTCAAGAAGTCACATCTGCAGAAAGGATCCCCAATCGGCCAATCCCCGCTCAGTCAGATAACTAAAATTGCGGCCAATTGATCCGCGGTAGATCTCATTTTCACTCTGTCTATGTCTGTAACTTGACTATTTGAGCTATAACACCGGACTTAAAATTTTTTTAAAAGCATATGCTACCTTCTATAAAACTTGGACAACCTTTCCTTTTTGCATGTTCAAAAAAACTTTGTCATTTTCAATTAGAACTCATTGGTGACCCTGTTTTTCGGCTTATCAGTCTTATCAGCCAACAATTCCACCAAACATGTAACTTTTGATTACGCACGCTGAATTGTGTAATAATAAGAAAAAGTAAAGCTATGGTTACTTTTATGGTTGTAGTTACTTTTACGGTTGTATTGGCTAAATTATTGTACACGAACATTTCAACTATTTTTTCATATAATTCTTTCTTCATTTGATTAATAAAATATATTTTAAATATAATTTTTTCATAAATCAACAGAATTAGTCAATCCAACCACCTCAGTCAGAACTTCATAAATTCCAATAAAATCAAGCAATATAGCCGATTTAGATATTACCAAACGGGCTCTTAAAGTAACTAATTTGTGGCTAATGTTATTTCTCTCTTTTCTGCACAAATATGAACCACATAATTTTTAGTTTTTACTTTATTATTCTACGTGCAAATCAACATCGGCCAAGTCAACTTTCTACTTCATTTTTAAGCTCAAAATTAATTTAAAGCAACATTATATTTATGGGACAAAAAAAGTATTCCGTAAAAAAAGTGATTGCATAGAAAATATCGTAGTATGCAGTAACTATTAAAATAAATACTCCCTCCGTTCCGGATTGTAAGACACTACGGTTTACGAAGTTTGAGCGACGATAAAGCAAAAAAGCTTTATAAAAAAGAATTACATATTCAGAAACTACATTAAAAGCTTTACAAAGTCGCAAAAACTAGAATCAAATTTCATAAACATTTGATATATAAAGTAAGAGATTAAGAGTGATTTGTATTGACCAAGTGAATAGGAAAAGTATCTTACAAAATGGGACTGAGGGTATATTTCAAGCAAAAATAGTACTATATCCATCCTATTTTTAATGTATGCTTTTTTTGGGTTGCCCAAAAATATGAATTTTTTTTTATAAATTGGGTGCTTAACTTTTTAGTTTCTCCCTTTTCCCTCTACCAAGTACCAACCATTACACCAAATACAATTGTACTGCCATGTAGTTAATGCAGATGGCCTGACTAATCACATAAGCATTTGTAACAAAATTAAAATGTACTCCGATGATCAGCAAAGAGGAATATACTTACGAGGGACAATTCCACTCCCCGGGATTCAGCCCACGTTTGAGCTGTGGCTCTGTGCACCTTTTACAGCTACTTCTGCTGGCAAAATTAATGAACTCGCATCTGGAGAAAGTCAAATATGAGAAATCCCCGGGGAGGTGGGAAAAAGGGTAATAGTGTAATACATGGTAGCAGTGGAAAAGAAAACGAACGCACTTCTATTTTCAAATGCAGTACAAAAAATCCAGTCCTATATCTTGTTCTATCCACAAGAGTAAATATTACCCTTCATGATTTCTACGTTGGTGGTCTTGCCCCCAATGTTAAACAAAACAAATAAATATCATATTCTCTCCAAGTTTATCCAGCATTTATCCCCTTCGTATCGATAGAGTAAGCGTCTTTTTAGAAGTCAGGGAATGAGAAGGAAATAAAATAGAGAGGGTGATACACTTAGAAATTTGGAAGGAAATAAAATGTTCGAGAGAAACAAAATCTTGGCTCAAACTAAATATATTTACTTTTGATTGGTATTCGAATAAACTCTTATTTGTTTGTTGATACTTCCTCCATCCCACAATAACTATTGCAGTTTTTCGGTCTAAGAAAGTGTTTACAGAGTTGAGAAAAAATACATTATTCAGTCAAATAGACTGCTTGAGAAATAAGACAATCAGACAAAAGGAGAGAGCAACACCTTGTTGGGGTATTAGGCCCAATAACAGGCCGGCCCAAAGACCACCAACAATCGAGACAGCACGATGGACCCAGCACTCGTGTACGGAACCGAGTCAGGGTTGGTCGAGATACCCATCTTGACCACGTGTCTCAGACGGGATGCGACACTTGGAACTTTCTCATCTGCAGCTTTCATGCAATCAGTCTGCCACACCATGGAGTTGGCGGTAAGCGCATTTAGTGCACCAAATATGGAAGATTTTATGGTCGCGGTAAGCCACTAAAGGCTCGCCATGTCACCTCCCCAACCTACTACCTTCTAGTATAAATACCCCAATTTATTTCATTGTAAAGGGTTGACAAATTTGCATTCAATAGTCTAGTCTCTCTACTCTTATGTAAGCTCTCAGCTTGGAAAAGAGGTTAAAGGCTCAGGCCCGATAAGGGTGTGTTGTGACCGTTCTGCATAAATCGAATAGAACGTGACACACTTTACCTTTTCTTCCTTGTTTTGCTTATTGTCATCTATTTAATCATCAACTGACTAAAATAATCACTCAAATATTTTCGCGTAAATAAAGATCCGACGAGTGATGTGGGTAGAAGATCAAGTTATACACCTGTCAAACGAGTTGAGAGGTGTGGAGAAGAGAGGATGACCCAAACAGACATGGATTAGAGGAGTCGGGAGTGTTATGCTTCTTGGGTTGGATGAGGGTATGACTTTGGAGAAAGCAAAGTGGAGGGCCGGTATTCATGTGACGGAGTGATCTCTTATACATATATATCAGGGGTGGGCAAAAATCCCGGTACCGGTGTCTCAAACCGAAAAATCCTGATACCGTTCTGAAACTATCCTGATCCATTTAGGATGCAATTTTTTCAACCCGAACCGGTCTTGTACCGATATTCACCGGGACGGGACCGGGATAGCTATAAAATATCATATCCCGTCCCGGTGTCCCGTTTGAAATTAGTAGGTTATTTTAAATTTCTAATGCTATGTAATAGTCAAACCCAATTAAAACTTTCTAGCCCTTAGTCTCCGTAGTGTAATTTTATCTTATTTCATGTCTCTCTTAGTCTCGTTTCTTTTAGTTAAAATTTGTTTAGTTCTCATTCCGATACTACTCCATATATAATATATTACTACGTGTTTAATATTATTTATGATGGAATAACTACTACTCCAAAATATAGTGTTGTTATAATTTAATATTTTTCAAAATAACCATTATAAAATATATAATCTTTATCGATATGATATTTAATTTAATGTGGTATTGAAACATTACAAGTGTACTACAAAGTATAAAAATATTTTGCGCTACTATTCTACTAGAGGAAACACAAGATTGGGGGGGCCAAAAAATTTACAAGCCAATAATTAAAAAATAGTTAATTAGAGGTTTTACTTATCTTTTTAGAGAAGCTAAATTTACAAAAAAAGTTACGCCTTTATTTTGATGTTATGCTTATTTTTATATCACATTTCACAAATGCTTAACATCCGACCCCCTCTTACCCCACCGTAGGTGGGAGCCTTTGCGGCACTGGGTAATGATGTCATGATGAATCATGAAGTAAAAGTGTACAATATATAACGGCCAACTTCCAATGCAAATTAAGTCAGGCGATGTTAGGTCATGGTTATGTTTTCTTATAACACCTAAAATGAGCTTTACTAAGAGTATAAATTACAGTGGGTAATGCTGAGTGAACTTACTTTGTGCACTTCCAATCTCCTTTTCTCATTTCAGTATCATTATTACCGAGTAATCTCTTCGGTCTGTCCTCACTTAGATTTGGTTGTTGATTGGGCTGTGGCTCAGTGCAAATTCTACAGCTACTTCTGCTGGCAAAATTTATGAACTCGCATCTGGAGAAAGTCAAATATGAGAATCTACGTCAACCATGGTGACAAAAAGGGAAATACAATGTAGCAGTGGAAAGAAAACTTTATATCCCATAAAGATAAGTTTGTATTTGATTTTGGTCCACCTCACAAAGACAGTCTAGTTTCTATATTAGGTGTCCATTGCCCCTATTTAAGTTGTTCATTTCAAAACTCCAAGATGGGCATAAATCATTAATTAAATTTAATGTAGGATAAAAGTGAGAATTACATATGAAGTTAATGATTCCAACTAACTCAACAACAATTTCTTGATCCTCATGCAATTAGATACTAGCCTATGCCTGTTTTTTGGGAGGAGAGTGTGTATATTGATGGTCTTAGTGTCTTACCACCACCACCCTCTTCAATGCTAAAATCTCATATCAATCACATATTTTCCTCAAGTTTATCTAGTACTTGTTCTTCTATATTGAGGGATCAGTAATGGAAGAATCAACTTCCGGGAATTTATGAACAATGAAAACATTGACAAGGCAATTTTGAACTTGATTGGGTTCAACTGCAAAAATCAGATATTCAGACATACTTCCAATGCAAATCAGGTCAGACAAGATTAAGTCAAGAACTCAAGACTCATTAGCAATACCTAAAATGAGCTGCAGTTAAAGGATATTACAGTGGGGTAAGGCTTACTGGACTTACTTTATGCACTTCCAATCTCCTTTTCGCATTTCAATATCATCACCAAAAAATCTTTTTGATGCCTCTGCTTTGCATTCCAAACACTGCATGTTCTTGGCGTAGTTCATAAAGTTGCACCTACAAGAAATCGCATTAACCATAAAAATAGGACATTGAGAAATATAAGCTGTGAGAATAAGTACTAAAAATTATGGCAATACATGAAAAGGAATTAGCATAAAGGTTTAAAGGGTGTGTTTCATTTCAGCAAGCATCAAGGGCATGTTTGAAACCCAGAAACTGCGAGGGAAAAGAAAAAATGGCTCAAAATCAACAAATCAATTTTAGATATTTGTTCAAACTCATTTAGTTATACAATTCTATTATAAAAAGAATAAATATCTTTACACACGAAAAATGGTACGCTCTAACCAATTTTCACTATCCTCTGTATTTCCGAGGAAAAACCATCAACCAAACCGAAAAAATATCTTCCATAGTACGGGAGTATATATTTTTCCACTCCAAGCCTTTTTTCTGGGAGTAACTTCCAAGCATAACCTAAAATACATTACAACACTCTAAAACCAAGGAAGGAAACAAAAGGTGACGGTAAATTGGCAATATACTACTTGGGATTAATAATATTAAATATGACGAGCTTAGCGATTGCAGCCCACTTGATATACAAAGATGTATAAATTTTCATTTTCATGATCCAAGAAAAACCACAATATGGAAAAAGAAAACGGAAAGTAATAGCCAACTTACTTGGAGCATATCCAATCTCCTTTTTTCATATTAACATTGTCCCTGCCAACCTTTTTCCATGTACTTATCCTACAGAAGCATATGACCTTTAGCATGAGTTATGCAAGTGCATTGTACAATTAACAAATAGAGAAGTAGAAACTCGCCTACTTTATGGGATAGAAAAGGAAATGGTTACTTGTTAAAGCTCTCTACATATAATGTAAATATAAGATTTGTTGATGTTGATTCTGTATCTAATTGACTCTGTTTGGAAATTGATACTAGAACCTTTTAAGTCTGAGAAAGCGAATCTTTTTTCCTTGTTTGACATTGTGTCTTTACTTTATTGTAGGAGAAAGAGGCCAACCTTGGATTGTTTCCATAACTTACTGAATTAAACTTATTCCTGTGTAAAAAGGCCAAAAATGCAAAGTGAGATCATTTTGCGATAAAAATAATATAAATACACAAAGCATGTATCTGTGTGTACGCAAAACATGTTATTTTATAACTTGCACACATACATTGTGTTTTAATTTTATGTATGCTTTTAAAAAGTTGATGTATGGCTTAATCACTTTATTATGTATGTGTATGGAGTTGTAACTATATAGTGATGCTGTCAAATTAGCACCTCTCAATATATTTAATCCGGAAATTAAGCCCTCCTACTTTGCAAACACACAATTGAACACCTTAACTTCTTAAGAACACTCAATTAGCATTTTTTATAGGTTCCTCCTGGTTGCCAGTAAATATCCCTTAATTGTCTGCTAGGTGGATTTTCTATTTTTTTTTCTTTTATTTTTTTCTCATTTTCTTTTTAAACTCTCACTTTCCTTTCTGAGATGTCCCAAAATTAGGTTCTAGCTTCTCTTTTTGGTAATATTTGAGTGAAAAGGTACATCAATGAATAGTAATTTTCTCTACCATACTTTTCTGCTTGGTTTTAAAAGGCACGAGGCGGCTTGAGGCGCTTTCATCAATTTACCCGAGGCGTGAGGCGCTAGGCGGTGAGGCGCGCGCCTCACGGATCTCAGGCACATTTTTTTTGGTGAAATATATTTTTAGTACTTCTACATGAAGCACTCTTCTCAAAAATCAAACTATTAAACAATCTTAATAAACATCATCAGAGAAACAAAATATATATTAAAGACAATACGACAGAAGCAAGAAACATATGTTTAAAGGCATAATTGCCAAAAGTCAAGTCACAAAACCCTAATATTGAATGAAATAATCACAAAAACTATGCATTGTGGATTGTTGAAGTAATACAGTAAGAACTAACAAACTTGATATTAAAGTAAAATTGTAAGAATTATACAATTTGATTATAAGCCTCATATATAAAACAATTAATAGTCATTTTGTGATAAATTGTTATATCTGTTATTAGTAATTCAAACAATTAATGTAATAAACTACTAAACTGTTATATAAAAATTTGTTAAAACTACAATATAGTCTGATTCCAAATTGTATATTGTTAATAAGTCTGATAATCTGATTCCCTGCCAGTGTATAACATGCTTGAATATACCAGTGTAAAACAATATACAATTGTTAAAAAATTGTTAATAAACCAGTGTTCTAACACTACAATATTATTATATAGTATTATGATATAGTAATATGTAATAAACTAATAAACTATAAAATAATACACATTTAATCAATAAACTATCACACAAATTCAAATCTGTAAAATTAATTACGGACAGATTTGTAAATTTAAATAATTTAAATAATTTTATAAATTTAAAAACTTAAAATACTTAAAAAACTTACAAACTTAAAAGTCTTGAACTTTTTTTCAGTTATCTATCAACACTAATAAATAGCGAAAGATAATACTACGTATGTATCAGTTATCTAACTTTTTATTTAAATAATTTAATATTTTTATAAATATAACAACTTAAAATAAAAGAGAATAAATAGCAGCAGAAAAAAAAAGTAAATAGACTCGTTTACTACCTCTGAGACGCGAGACACTAGCAGCGAAAAAAAGTCGTAAGCTTCAAACGGGAGATACATCGGAAACGGAAAGGAGGTCTGAATCGCCAAAAAAAATGAAATTGGAATCGGCAGAGAATTTCATCGGCTTCCCTGAGGCGTGAAAAGCGCTCGCCTCTGAGTAGCGCAAAAGGCGCTAAAAAGCGTGAAAAGCGCACGCCTCTAGGAACCTGAGCCGCCTGGGTGAGTTAAATGCGACAAACATGTCGCCCCTCTGCGCCTCGCGCCTTTGCGCGCCTCAGGCGCGCTTTTTTAAACTAAGCTTTTCTGAAAGGGCATAAGTCAATGAATACGATTATTTTTCATAAAAACTCATGAAGTCAAAGTAGGAACTTAATTGCGGGATGAAGGGAGTATTATGTATCTTAATATATAAATAGAAAGATGATTTTTGTGGGATTATAAACTCATCATCATCATCACCCTAGTGCCGCAACAGCTCCCACCTACAGTGAGGTAAGGGGGGTCGGATGTACGCAGTCTTACCCCTGTACTAAAGCACAGAGAGACTGTTTCCGGGTGACCCATAGTGAAGATCGCGTCAAAAATTGCATGAACTGACTCCTGCTTTACAACAAAGAAGCGCAAACATTTTAGTGAACCATTTTGCTTTACTTCATCATATTCCCAAGACAAAAAAGAGTGAGTCTTTGGATCCATTGAAAATGATGGAAATCACATACGGCATTTTGTGGGGAAAAAAATATAAGAATTAGAATCAGTCTTAGAACACGTCCACATGCTACTCCAAAAATGGATTCTCAAGTGTGTAATCATATTCTCCAAAGAAATGTATGATTTCAAGTGCTTCTTTGAGGAGTATAACTAAGTAACTAACTAAACAAACACCACCATAATCTAGTTACCATGATCTTTATAACACAATTTCTCATGTTACCCAACTCTTATAAAAATTTACTAAATTTATTCTTTCAAAACAACATATAAAACACACACACAGTGCTTTGAAGAAATATTGATATAATATCGATTTTCTGTCCACCAAACGAGCTTCAAAGACTTACTTGTGACCCGTTAAGTGTTCATGTAGTTCATCACTTTCCAAGCCTTTGTCAACCATGTAACCAGTACTTCGTTCCATTTCAGGAGAAGTTATGGGAATAGGCTTTGTTAGTTTAGGGTCTATTGGTGTTTCACTCAGCTCAACCAACTCCAACAGCAATTTTCTGACAGATGCTTCAATTTGTTCTCTTCTGGGAGGAGGCTTCTCCTCCCGTGATGTTACAAGTGGATCCAACGCATACAAAACTAGTAGACGTACAATATCAACTGTACGTGCAGATCCTTCAGATTCTTTTAATATTACATTAGCCCTGTCACATGAGCCCCGCAAATTGCATGCATCACATGCCTGCATATACATGCTTCATTAAGTAAGCTATGAAGATGCCAGTTTACTCATCATCATCATCATCATTACCCCAGTGCCGCAAAGGCTCCCAACTACAGTGGGGTAAGGGGGGTCGGATGTACGCAGTCTTACCCCCGTACTAAAGCACAGAGAGACTATTTCCGAATGACCCATAGTGAAAACCGCAACGAAAATTGCATAGACTGACTTTTACTTCATAACAAAGAAGCGCAGACAGTTTAGTGAGTCATTTTGCTTTATTCCATCATATTCCCAAGCCAAAAAATAGTGAGTCTTGCTCCATTGAAAATAATGGAAAGAAGATGCTAGTTCACTAATAGGGTTAATTACATATACCTCTCCATAAGTTTTCAATTACCTAACTGTCCCTGAAGGAGTCTATTACATATAGACCGTTTCAGTAGTCATATTTTTATGAAACATAATAGAATCTAATGATATTAACTTGAATTAAAATTTTCAGGCTGAATTTTGTTTTTTAATTGTGATTTATCAATTAAGATGTTAGATATCATGTTAGAAACAATAAAATCTTGGATAATTGTTAAGAACAATTTACTCTGAAACACCCAATTTCTACTAATTTTATAATAGTGTATCATCTTTCTTTGTAATTTACGAAGTATATGACTTGTAGGTTGTATTTAAATTTCATAATCCTTGAGGATCATTTAGTAGCTTGACCAAACTCCACGTTGGTAGATGTAATTAACACAACCTTAGGCTGACCGCAACCCGTTGGAGTCAATAAATCAAATTCGCCACCTTTTTATACGTATTCACTCAGTCAATCAGTTTTTCTCTGCAACCCAACACCGTCAATATATTCACCCAGCACATTTTTTTTAAAAGAAATGTATACATTCTTACTTTTATTATCACACATCAATCATATGACAAATTGTTTTTTACTAATCATTATGAATTAAAAAGTCAAATATTTCGATGTAAAAAAATATTTTTTTTTGGAAGGTATTAAAATTTGCACACATGACCTTAATTTCAAATAAATTGGAGTTTCCATTCAAAATATGTACTCCTATATTGGATCTACCTAAAAATGTTTTTTTTATTAAATTTAAGCCAGCCCAAAAGTATGAAGAAAAGAAATCCAAGCGCATTCCAGCGAGTCCAGGGCACCGCCTAATTTGAACCGTGCAAACCTCCTGCAAAATGCTGCTGACTCTTGGGACCCGCACTGCTGCCAACTGTTGGCTTCCTCCTTTTGTGCAGCGGCTAGTGGAAATGGTGGGTCAATGTACCCACCGAAATTTTCCCAACTGGTGCCATGCATCCACTTTTGCACCCAACAATACATGGGTTGCAATACTTCTTTGGGGTGAAAAGAATGAATTTGACTTATTCAACTATGGGTTGCAATCAGCCTTATAAACTAAAAAAATAGATCTGTAGGGTGCAAACTTACCTAGAAGTGGAACAAACAAAATAATTATAAAAAGTGAAGAATGACTGAATAAATGAAAAATAAATATAACACCTAACATACATGTCTTTCATTGAGCTGTAGATACACTCTCAACCTTTTTGCAGAATTAACAGCCTTCCGGAATAGATTAGGACATCCCTTTTGAACCACTGCTTGCATATCATGGGTAGGCAACATTCTGCAAAAAATCCACACACACAAAAAAAAACTTGCAAAGAGCATTTGGAGCATCTATTTAGAGCATTTGGTTAGAGGAACATGTATGTTAAAAGCTTCACCCTTGGAGTCATCGCTTTACAACTAAAAAGGACAATTTCCCCCAGCTCACCAGCTAATAGTTAAACTAATGACTTAAAGAGTAACTTTTAAAGTACAAATATTGCAAACATGTTTTTTATTGTTATAAATAAATTAATGAAAACATCTTCCATTTTGAATACTTGCAGTGTACATCAGCTGTCAGCCTGTCACAATTCTGCTAGTTTTACTACTCACAGAAGAAGTAGTAGTAGTAGTAGTATTGTGTGTTTGTGATTGAATATTTTATATCTTCAAAAAAAGATTGAATATTTTAAGATATTGAGCTACCGTGTTACCAAATGTAATTGAATCATCTTCCTCTACGTTTTGAGCTCTAATATTTGCATTTATACTGATGATGGATGCCAAGCAGTTACTGCAGAAACATCATATGTTTAAGGTGTAATAAAAAACACAAATCAAAAAAATGAAAAAGTGAAGAAAGCATTGAAGAAGAAGAAGAACTTACCTCAAAATGTCAAAACGGTCACGAGCGAAATTTAGATAAGCATTCTTCAATATATTCGTTTCTCTATAAACAGACACATCACCGCTCCCTTCGCTCATGGTAACGACAGAAGAAGAAGCATCGGAGATTTTAGGTAAGTAACCTTTGGTCTTCAAACAGTCAACAAAATTTATCCATTCTGGCCAAGGGTGCCGAACATTGACATCACTTTCAGAACTCTCGACTGGAAATGTGAGGACACAGTCGGCCGCGGATGCGGACGAGCAGTGGCCGCGTAACAATACGATTCGGTTGGCGAGGAGGAAAGGGGATGCAATGCGTGGGCAGCGGTAGAGCTGGTTCCGGAAAATTGAAGCTCCGTGAGAGCCAAAAAATATGGAAGCTGACATTTTTGTATTTGAGAACTCAAGGACGGCTGGCGTTTTAGATTGGGTGTAGGGAAAACTGCATAATTTGAAGGGTATTGCACAATTTTAAGGGTATGTTTTCAAAAAAATGATTTTCATTTTTTGGTTTAAAAAGGTCGAATGGTTGTGAAATAAAGAAGTTGGAGAATAGATTAAAGAGATAGATATATTATTAATAATATCTAAATTACTCCTTAATATCTAAATTTCCGAATGAATTTACAAATGTTTGAATGCTCTATTTATACTAGTCATGCTTGGGATGAATCATCTAGGAATGATTCTACATAATTTGCTGTCAACATTAAACCTAGACATTTGTTCTATTACAATGATTGGAACTGGATTAGTGTCCTGATTACAAGGACGAAAAGGATAAACAATTCACACTTGTCATTTCCAGGATTTTACAACACCCCCTTGAATGTTCATCTTTGAATAGATATTTGTTATATTAAAATTTATTATGAAAAATTAAAGTTTGGGGTAAGGATTACGACTTATAATGTTGTTGTATTTGGATGTATTGTCTCGTTAAAAACCTTATCAGGAAAAACCCAGTGGGATAAAAACCTGATGAAGGAAAAAAGAGTGCAGTGCATTCAAATACTCCCCCTGAAATTAAAATAAATTTTGAAGGCAGCGCATGCCGATTTTTTGTACAAGTTCTATGAATTTCTTCGGGGGCAGTGACTTGGTGAAGAGATCGGCCGGATTTTCACTAGATCTGATTTGTTGAAATGTTGATCGTCCCTTCTTTCTCCAGATCATGAGTAGAGAAGAACTTTGGTGATATATGTTTTGTTCTGTCTCCTTTGATGTAACTTTCTTTAATTTGAGCTATGCAAGCAGTGTTGTCTTCGTAGATCACAGTAGGGTGAACAGTAATTGGCTTCATACCGCATTCATTTTGGATGTGTTGAATCATAGATCGCAGCTACACATATTCTCTCCCGGTTTCATATAGTGCAACTAATTCAGAATGATTTGATGATGTAGCTGTCAATGTCTGCTTCATAGATCTCCACGACATTGCGGTGTTACCACAAGTAAGTACGTACCCGGTTTGTGATTTCGCCTTTTGATGTTCTGATAAATATCCAGCGTCTGCATATCCGATTAAAGCGGTTTTTGCATCTTTGTTGTAGAATAGGCCGAGATCAGCTGTATCGCGGAGATAACGAAATACGTGTTTGATCCCGTTCCAATGACGCCTTGTTGGACATGAGTTGTACCTAGCTAATAAATTTACAGAAAATGCAATATCTGGTCTAGTATTATTAGATAAATACATTAAAGCTCCACTAGCACTTAGATATGGGACTTCGGGACCGAGTATTTATCCGTTGTCTTCTCGGGGACGAAATGAGTCATCGTGTATGTTGAGAGAACAACCCACCATTGGTGAAGTCAAAGGATGAGCTTTGTCCATATAGAATCTCTTCAGAACTTTCTCGGTGTAATTAGATTGATGGATGAAAATTCCATTCTTCAAATGCTCAATTTGAAGTCCGAGTCAAAATTTGGTTCTCCTGAGATCTTTCATTTCAAATTCTTTCATAAGATAATTTGCAGTATTTTCAATTTCATCAGGAGTTCCAATAATGTTTAAGTCATCAACATATAATGCAATTATGGCGAATCCCGAATTTGATCACCCAATTAAAACACATGGACTAATCGTATCATTCTTATATCCTTATTTGAGAAGGTATTCACTGAGACAATTATACCACATTCGTCCATATTATTTTAGTCCATAGAATGACTTTTGTAGTTTAATGGAAAACATTTCTCGAGGTTTCGAGCTATAAGCTTCAGGCATTTTGAATCCACCGATAACTTTCATATAAATGTTTGTATCGAGTGAACCGTATAAATATGCAATCACTACATCCATTAGGCGCATTTGCAGCCTTTCAAAAAACAGACATGCCAATGAGAAACCTTAATGTAGTTGCATCAACTGCTGGAGAATAGGTTTCTTCATAATCAATTCCCGGCATTTGAGAAAAACCTTGGGCAACGTAACAAGTCGGGCTTTATATCTAACTATTTCATTCTTTTCATTGCGTTTACACATCAGTTTACACACAAATACCCATTTAAAACCCATAGGTTTTACGCCCTTTGGCGTAGGGACTATCGGTCCAAAAACATCACGTTTTTCAAGTTATTTTAATTCAGCCTGAATAGCTTCATTCCATTTTGGGCAATCGTGTCGTTTCCGACATTATTTAATAGGTGTTGGCTCATTGTCATGGTTTTCATTCATTACATTCGTGGCAACGGCATAGACATATATCTCATTAATATCAACATTTTTTCGATTCCATTGCATTCCAGTAGAAACGTAATTTATTGAAATTTCGTAATTATCTATGTTTCTATCATTATCTGGATCATCTTCCTCATTTAAGGAAGTCGGATCATCATTTGAGATGATCGTTTTGTCAATATCATTTTCTATGCCACTATTTTCAAATTGTTCATTTTCTTGTTCAGAATGATGAACATCTTTAGCATCACAGATCAACTTCTGCCTTTTGGGTTTTCTTGGTTTTATGTCTTTTGATCCAAGTGGCCTGCCACGTTTTTTGCGTATAGAAGAATCATTTGCAAGAGATTTTTCAGAATTCTCTGTTGGGATTTCGATTCTAGCTGGGGCATTCATAACAGGAATATGTGACTTTGTCGTTTTAATTTCTTTGTATCTATGAATGCATCAGGCAACTGATTTGCAACACTTTGTAAATGGATTATCTTTTGAACTTCTTGCTCACATATATTTGTTCTCGAGTCAAGATATGATAATCATGTTGCATTCCATGTTATTTATTTCGTACTTGGGTCTGATTTATTATTTTCTCCCCTAAGGTCGGGAATACTGTCTCATTAAAATGACAGTCTGCAAACCGTGATGTGAATAAGTCACCAGTCATTGGTTCAAGATATTTTATTATTGAGGGAGATTCGAAACCAACATAAATTCCCAACCTTCTTTGAGGACCCATTTTTGTACGATGAGGTGGAGCAATCGGAACATAAACAACACAACCAAATATCTTAATGTGTGCTAAGTTTGGCTCTTGTCCAGTTACTAATTGCATTGGGGAATATTCATGATATGCAGTTGGCCTAAGCCGAATTAAATTTACTGCATGTAAAATAGCATGTCCCCAAGCTGATGAAGGTAAATTACACTTCATTAATAATGGTCTAGCGATTAATTGTAATCGTTTAATCAAAGATTCAACAAGACCATTTTGTGTATGGACATGAGCAACAGGGTGCTCCACATCAATCCCAATTGACATACAATAGTCGTTAAATGTTTGGGAAATAAATTCTCCTGCATTATCAAGTCGGATTCTTTTTATAGATGATCCGGAAAATGAGCTCTTAATCATATGATTTGAGCAAGGAATTTAGCAAATGTTAAATTTCTAGTCGATAAAAGACTAATATGTGACCAATGTGTTGAAGCATCAATCAACATCATAAAATATTGAAATGGTCCACATAGTGGGGCAATCAGCCCAAAAATATCTCCTTGAGTCCTTTCTAAAAATGCAGGTGATTCAGTTGCAATTTTGTTCATAGAAGGCCTCATGATCATTTTGCCAAGGGAACAAACCTTACAAGAAAAATGACTTGATAATGGAACCCTTTTATTCTTTAATGGGTGTCCAAGTGAAGTTTTGATTATTTTATGCATCATTACTTGGCCGGGGTGACCTGAACGGTAATGCCACAACATGAATGTTTTCTGATCATCTAACTTTGTGTTAGAAATCAAATTTATTTCAAATGGACTAATATATGAGAAATATAGTCCTAAGGAATATGCTGGCATTTTTTCACAAATATATTTAGTGTCATATTTAGTTGTCGTAAGACAAAGATATTCCTTTTGGTTTTCATTCATGGTTTCTATGTGATAACCATTTTGACGCATATCTTTAAAACTTAATAAATTTCTTCGCGATTTGCTAGAGTATAAAGCGTCATTTATAATTATTTTGGCCCCGTTAAGGAGCATCACACATGCTTTCCTAGAGCCTTCAATGGGCTTCACAACACCTGATATTGTATTGACTTTAGCTTCAACTAAAGTAATTTGAAAAAAATATATTTTATTTCTCAAAATGGTGTGCGTTGTGGCGTTGTCTATCAGACACAGTTCTTTATCACTTGAGTGATCCATATCTTCAATATATATAAATAAACATAAGCTTGATATGCAAATATCGCAAATTATGCATCATTAACACCATATATTACACACTTATTTATGAAAACAACATAAAGGTAAACAAAGGGAAAAATTACATGATAACATAAACTACTATTTTACAACATGAAAGTCTTATAATTTATTTTGTGTCATTTGGATAAGTGGCAAAAGCATCGTCCATTATGCTGTCATCCACAAAAAAGTCGACAAAAAAGTCGGACACATCAAATTTTGGTAAAGGTGGAGTTGTGTCATTCACATAATTAGCTTCCACATGTTTGGCTTTGTTGAGATTCATGGAAGCTTGAAATAACTCCACTAAATGCTTTGCAGTACGGCATTTGTTAGCCCAGTGTCCCGTCATGCCACATTTGTAACACGTCGTCTTCACCGAGGTTTTTGTAAGACGATTTATTTGATGGGTTTTTTGTTTTTCCTTGCCCTTGTAATTCGGTCTTTCGACCCGTTTGTATTCTCAGTGTGGCTTGTTATTATGACCCTTAAAATGCCCACGTTTAAAATGTCTTCTAATGTCACTGTGTGTTGCATTTGATTCAGTGACTAAATTATGGTCAGATGGGCCATAAACCGAAGGACTAGAACCAGTGGGTCTTAGATTATGATTTTTCATCAAAAGGTCATTATATTGCTTGATAGAGTAACCTTTTTAGTCGGAGTATTTTTTAAAACCTTCTACTCTAATAATACCGATATTAAGTCGGAGTATTTTTTAAAACCTTTTTCTCTGTATTGCTGTTGGAGCAGCATGTTAGAGATATGCATAGTAGAAAAGGTTTTCTCCAACATATC